AAAACATGAATAGACACTTCTCTAAAGAAGACATCCGGATGGCCAACAGGCACATGAAAAGATGTTCAGCGTCGCTCCTTATCAGGGAAATACAAATCAAAACCACACTCAGATATCACCTCACGCCAGTCAGAGTGGCCAAAATGAACAAATCAGGAGACTGTAGATGCTGGAGAGGATGTGGAGAAACGGGAACCCTCTTGCACTGTTGGTGGGAATGCAAATTGGTGCAGCCGCTCTGGAAAGCAGTGTGGAGGTTCCTCAGAAAATTAAAAATAGACCTACCCTATGACCCAGCAATAGCACTGCTAGGAATTTATCCAAGGGACACAGGAGTACTGATGCATAGGGGCACTTGTACCCCAATGTTCATAGCAGCACTCTCAACAATAGCCAAATTATGGAAAGAGCCTAAATGTCCATCAACTGATGAATGGATAAAGAAATTGTGGTTTATATACACTATGGAATACTACGTGGCAATGAGAAAAAATGAAATATGGCCTTTTGTAGCAATGTGGATGGAACTGGAGAGTGTGATGCTAAGTGAAATAAGCCATACAGAAAAGGACAGATACCATATGGTTTCACTCTTATGTGGATCCTGAGAAACTTAACAGGAACCCATGGGGGAGGGGAAGGAAAAAAAAAAAAAAAGAGGTTAGAGTGGGAGAGAGCCAAAGCATAAGAGACTGTTGAGAACTGAGAGCAAACTGAGGGTTGATGGGGGGTGGGAGGGAGGAGAGGGTGGGTGATGGGTATTGAGGAGGGCACCTTTTGGGATGAGCACTGGGTGTTGTATGGAAACCAATTTGACAATAAATTTCATATATAAATAAAAAAAAAAAAGAAAGAAAATCTGAGAGAAATGAATGAGAAGAATGAAATTTTGTTTTTATCAGTTAAATGAACATAATGATTGCCCCCAAATCATAAATCTGTAATCTAGATATTTACCTTTTAAAATTGTAAAACCAACTTTAACAAAAAGAATTCCTCAAAACATCAAAGCACACTGTTAAACTCATTTGGATGTAAAATAATTATTGGATCAAAATAAACTGAGACAATTTTTAAAAAGCTGTAAAATATTTTATGTGTCAATGGTTCAAAAAAATCAAGTTTAATACTCAAAGTTAACATAACTATAATCTGTTTCACACAGTTCCTAACTATACAGTTTTCAGTGAATTTTTGTTTTGACAGACAGAGAACGAGTGGGGGGGTGGCAGAGAAAGAGGGAGACAGAGGATCCAAAGCAGGCTCTGCACTGACAGCAGAGAGCCCAATGTGGGGCTCGAACTCACAAGCCGTGAGGTCACGATCTGAGCTGAAGTTGGATGCTTAACTGACTAAGACCCACAGGCGCCCCCAAAATTTTAATTTTGTATAGGTATGATTAATATTTCAAAACCTATACAATTTTTTAAATAATGTATCAATATCGCCTATGTGAATTCATACTTTTTTAAGTAAAGGCCCACATTTTATTAATATTCTGAGTCTCCTGGAAAAAACAAATACTGTTATCTTAGTATTAATATACATTTACAAATTATTTAAGAAAAATATTTATATATTTTAATAACCCTTCTGGCTGCTTTTTAGGTGCTTCTGCATATATTAACTCATTAATCTGTTTAATTAGTTTTTAAGATAGAAATTATTACCATTTTTCTTTTTTAAACATTTTTTTTTAATTTTTCTTTTTTTTTTAACGTTTATTTATTCTTGAGACAGAGAGAGACAGAGCTTGAACGGGGGAGGGGCAGAGAGAGAGGGAGACACAGAATCGGAAGCAGGCTCCAGGCTCTGAGCCATCAGCCCAGAGCCTGACGCGGGGCTCGAACTCACAGACCGCGAGATCGTGACCCGGGCTGAAGTCGGACGCTCAACCGACTGAGCCACCCAGGCGCCCCTATTACCATTTTTCTTAAAGCAGTTGATTAGTCTCAGGTATAGATTACTTAGGTAATTTAAATAAAGTAACAAACTAGTGAGTGGCAGAACCAAATGTGCATCCATATTTGTCTAACTTTTCTTATGCCCATACTTGTTCTGTTACACCATGATGCTTCTTTAAGGAAAGGTAAATCATCAGTTTATTATGTTTCACACAGGAATATAAAATATTATACCAAATAAACGTATTTTACTTCCATCTACATTGAGTGTTAAGAGTTATTAAGAGTTGTATGACATGAACTTCTGTCTATGAAGATAAAGATGCGTGTTCTCAATTAGTTACATGAGAGCCAATAAAGAAGAGTCTATAAAAAAATCATTATGCAAACATGACTTTCTCCTCTGAACTAAACTAACTTTTTTGAAGTCTACTGACCTATCAAAACAGATCTGTTCAATAGCCTAACAAAGGCAAAGATAGACTGTCAAAGGCAATAGTCTTTTCCATTTATCACAAGTCTGGTAATTAATTCATTAGCCTGCCAATCAACTGTACTGCTAGTGAAATTTGTGAGAGTAGAATGAAATAGCTTACCGTGCACATGGATGTCTTTGTAATTTTCACGGTAAAATCCGAAGAAAACTCCAAAGCTGAGACAGAGGTTGTATGGCAATCTATTTGCTACCCGTTAAAAAAGAGTAGAGGGAAGAATTTACTAAAATCGTGAAAACAAAACCAAAACAAACAGATAAATATTACTTCTTTTTTATGCAAAAAGAATTACTGTAAACAGATGTTTTGCAAGGTTTAATCATTCAAACCTCACTTCTGGGATTGTTTGCAAATTTAAGGCTACTAGCACTATCATTTAGTTAATTTTTATTTAAACCAAATTAGTATTTTTAGTTAGACTTCTTGTAAGAATACTATATATCAAATCATGGTTCTGATGTGCTGTTAAAGTTTCTCTAAGATACATTCAAATACTTTTAAATACAAATTTTTTCCTGTGCTCCAACTAAAATCATTTTGTATACTACCAGTGGTACACATTTGCTATAAATTATGCATGATAAGAGTCAACATTTTCATAGGAAATGCCAACTTGAAAACATATGGTAATGAAAAGGATAAGGTGTTTTAGAATTCTATTTTGTAATTGGATTTGAAGTTTGTTAGATATTAGGAAAACGGTAACAGTTATAACCAACGAGCCAAACCAATTATGAAGGTTCCACTCAGGAAAAAAATGGCCAAAGAGCCTCATGTTCCTGTTCTGCCCTAGTTCAAGCCCTTCTTCACTTGACTATGGGGAGCGGACGGAGACAAGCCAGGGCAGTGAAACCAGAAGGGATGCTGTGGAGGCCTGACTTGCCATGAGCAGATTATGACACAGCATACACCATGCACAGGACTATATACTTGAGGCATCACCCTCTTTAAGAGAGCTTCAGAAAATTTAAAAGAAGTTACAGTTTGGTTGCCTGTTACTTGTAGAGGACTGTGGAACAGGGAACAAAATATATTTACTTAAACAAATAAATGATTAATATTTAAAAAACAAAGAGAAAGGGTATGTGTACCTTTTAAACATCTTTGTTTCCAGTCTAAAAACTTCTATTTCAACTACTTATTCATAGTAGTCTTTGGCATTAAACAGAGAGATCACTGGAGACAAAAATTAGCCCCTCCCCCTAACAACTCTCCTTTTTGCTTAGCCTTGAGGCTGAGTTGGCTATAACTGTACACTCCTACCCTGAACCAAAAAATCCAAATACATCTCTTACTATCAGCGTACCACAGCATTGAACAATCCTATAATCATTAGCCAGGCTATAGTTTTTTTTCTTAAAAGCTGAAAGCAATTTTAATCAGCTTGCTCTTGTTGAGAAACTTTACATGGTTATTACTCTCTGCCAACTTTAAATATTTTACCTATTAAGAAAATTAACAAATATTTACTGAATATCCATTTTACGCAGAGTACAATTATTGATGCTATGAAAGTAACAGTGTGACTATGAAAAGCAGATGATGTTCTGAACCTAAAACTGAACTATATTCATTTATATCTAATTGAAGCAATATGACTTTTCACTGAAAATTTACTGTTTAACCCATGTAAATTTGACACAGCAAAATTCACAATAAAACTAGAGACTGACACTGTGAATAATAAGATTTTAAAACAGAAAAGGAATTAACCGAGAAATCTGAAGACAGTTGGACTTTAGTTTCATAGGCAAATTCACTGTTATTACTTAATCTGAAAAAGTGGAAGAAACGTGAATGTGGGAAGTTAAACTGTATAGAATATATGATATGAATGAATAATCTGGCTGTAAATGAGAAACCAGAATAAGGCCAGGGAGGTGGTAATGAAGCAGAAATGACTTTTTGTCTGTAAGCCCCTCAGTATAAGGAATTTCAATACAAACAGAAGTGATCCCAAAGGCTGATATAATCAACTCGTAAATATTATAACCTCAAGGTACATTAGACTGATTAATATAGGAAGAATAATCATAGTTTTGAAGGTCCAAACATAATATCAATATATTAATTTCGAATACTGAACTTATAAATGAAAACTAATAAAAACTGCAAGTCTGTTGAAATAAAATTGGTAAAAACACCTACCTTAATACTACAAGCATCGGAAATAATAGTCATTGGATCTAAAACTTCCACAACAGCTTCTGGAATAACTGCTTTCTTCATACAGGACATGTTGAAGCCATAAACATTATCCCAGAAAGCAATTCTATCAGCATGTTTATTCATATCACTTACTGCCACAAGGCTAATAGTGCAAATATCAGGGTACACTGTAACAGATAAAATACCCAACAATTTACCATTATCTCCCTTTATGGCAAGATATACTTTAAAAGGCTAAGTATAAACACCAAAATCATCAGTATGAATTATTAGCAATTGATTACTAGCGGTGGGGTATTAACATAGGTGTAGATCAGGGAAAACAACCAAGTTCCATCTTGTAATCTCTAAAAAAAAAATTCTGTTATGGCAATGGCAAAATTAAAATAAGGTTCCTATTACAATAGTTAAAACAAGATGGCAGAATTAAATAAACATGAAAAGAACAAATTTATTAACATTAAACTTACAATATGCTGACTTTAAAAAGATACTAAATCTTTATACATTACTCTGAAACATAAAGAAAGAGACATCATTTAAAAATATATGGGACATGTAAAAAACATGATGGAATTTTACAGTTGTACAGAAGACCAGTTTATATTAACCTCTCTTATTTATTAAAAAAGGAAATATTTATGAGCATCAAGAATGTGCCAGATAAGTTATTCTAATTTATAGACTGTGGATCCATGTCCATGTCCCTACTATCAAGAAACTTATATTTAGACAATTTTGATAAATAAATGGACAATTATTCATGATGTAATAAATACTAAGAAAGGGGAAGTATAAGGTACGGGGAAGCTCACAGCAAAAATAGTTAATTCATATTTGGCTATCGCAGGGGTGCAGGGATATTATGTAAAATAAGAACTGAAAACCACATAAGTTAGGAGTGGGGGTGGGAAGCAGTGTTCTAGGTAGAGCAAGCAGTGTGCATATAGGGTCACAATTAATATATGCTCTAGTTTAAGAGAAAGAGATATAAGGCTACGAAGATAATAAGGGAGCAAAGAAAACATAGCTGGATAAACCATGTTAGTAAAATGGATTTTATCCTAAGAATAATAACAAGCCTATGAAAAATTTTACATAGGGTAGCAACTTGAGCAGATGTTGGTTTTGGAAAAGCCAGATGGAATATAATGTGGGGAATGAATGGAGGTGCAAGATTAAGACAGAGACAGAATAAGAGATAGTTGGAATAGCCCAGGCGATCTGAAGTAGAGTGACAACTGTGGGAATGGAAAGGGGTAGATACATACAGCTGACCCTTGAACAACAAGGGTTTGAACTGCGCGGATCCACTTCCACATGGGTTTTTTTGATAAATACAGTATTGTAGTGTAAATGTGTTTTCTCTTTCTTATGATTTTATTAATAACATTTTCTTTTCTCTAGCTTATTTTATTGTAAAAATACAATATATAATACACATATCACACAAAACACATGTTAATCGACTATATTATTGGCAAGGCTTCCATCAACAGTAGGCTATGAGTAGTTAAGTTCTGGGGGAGTCAAAAGTTACACAGATTTTTGACTACACAGGGGGTGGGGCAGTTAATGCCCCTCACTCCAACATTGTTCAAGGGATCAATTGCATATTCAAGGGATATCTAGGAGGAAGAGCTCACAGGTTTTTAGTTTTAGCAGCTGGGCAGATTGTAGTAGTAACCATTACATTAGTGAATAAATAAGGTCAGATTCAAGAGGAATATGAAAGTCCAATGCTATGGGACAAATGGGTAAAAGTATCCAATAAGCAATTGAAAAGATGGGCCTGAAATTCAAGAGATGATCTGGGTTCAAGATATAAATTTGGGACCATCATCATATAAAGCGAAGTGTAAGTTATGCGAGCTCATGAGGTCATCTAGGGAGAGTACATAATACATACCAGAATTTAAGGTACATATAGAAGAAAAGGAGACTGGTAATAAACAGCTGAGAAGCTGGGGCCACTGAAGTAGGAAGAAAACCAAGAGAGTAAGTGTTAAGAGAAGGGAGGGAAGAGAGTAATTCAGGAAGAAACTCTATTCCAAGAGTTAAAAAGTCTGTATAACACCAAATTTAAAAAATAATATTGATTTGATTTTTTCTCAGATAAGTAAATAACAAAGTTAACTTTGTCCTTCAAGTAAGATTCAGGGGATTCATGAATTAAAATACAAATCAAATTTTCTTATATCAATAAACTGAAAGCAAGTACGTATGTACCAAAGAAATGCACAAAAATAATTTCATGATTATTAACCAGCCTTCGGATTTAAACAGCAGAGAAATAACCCTTCCCTCCCCCTAAATTTTGTTTCTATCCACAGACTTAGGAATTTATTATTCAATGACAGCAGCATTAAATTATCTTCCAAATAAAGCCCATGATAAGAGCTGTTGGCATCAAAGCAACTGCTCCTTTCAAGCCTGATGTGAGACATCCAGACAAAATACTTGGTGCTATGTCACTGCGAAGTTTCTCAAGTCATCCGCAAGGGGGCATGGGAGTTAGATGTGACAGCTGACTGGGCTCCAGCTGACTGCCATGTAAGGTGAGTTACTTCTACTCTCCTCCTTCACAGACATGGTGAGCCTCTTGACTGGGTTTAAATTCCTGATAATACAAATTCTTCAAAGAATCTGACTTTTTGTTGAATATGCTGAACCAGTAAGACTATCGGCTACGTGGAAGTATGTTTACTTTCTCAAACCAGGTCCTTATATGAGAAACAATGAAGAGTTCAAATTTTACAGCAACTTTAGATATTTGGCAACTTCTTTAGATATCCTTTGGTGGACTTAATATGACAATCATACAAGTTTCCCACATTTTGCCCTGTAATTTTATACTTAAATAGGAATATAATAAGGGCACAGATCAGGGATCAGCAAACATTTTCTATAAAGTAACTATTTCAGGTTCTGTGGGCCATATGGTCTTTGTTGAAACTATTCATCTCTGCTGCTATACTGTGAAAGCAGCCTCAGATAATATGTAAATAAACGAGCTTGGCTATGTTCCAATAAAACTTTATCTACAAAAACAGGCAGCAGGCCAGATATGGATACCACTGATATAGATGTGGGAGAAATGGATCAGGGCCACCATATTGTAAACCTTCAGGGAGTGTCATTCACACTATAGTCTATGGGAAACTGAATAGCCTTTGGAGTCGTGCAGTGCACAGACATTCAAATCACTACAGCCCACAGAGTTCTTCTATTTCAGGTATTATTAAAATCTTAGTGAAAAAAATTTAAAATATCTTAAGTCTCTATATCAAGGCTGGCAAATTGTGGCTCATGGGTCAAATTCAACCCCCTGGCTGTTTTTGTAAACAGTTTAGTGGAATAGTGCCACCCTCATTTATTTCCCTATGGTCTATGGCTACACTGTGTTCTAGTAGCAAAGTTGAGTAGTTGAGACAGTGACTGTATGGCTTACGAAGCTGCAAATATATTATCTGGCCTTTTGTAGAAAAGTTTGCTGACCTCAGGCTCTGTATCAAGCAATAGAATATACTAGCAATACTACTCAGAAGTAAGGATAACTTTTTCATAAGGAAGAACTAGAATTTACCCCAATAAACTTGCAAATGTTTAAAAAATATTTTGGTACTAAGAAGAAGTAAAGAGAAATATGATTTTACTTTTTCTAGTATTGAGGTATATTTTTCAAGCTAATTATATTTCACAAAGGTACAGAAAAAATGTTTTTTGTATTTGTTAGCATTTGGAAATGAAATTATTTTTAATATTTGTTAGTAAGAGCTATGAATATTCATAAAGGACCTGTAATCAATGTTATAGGTCAATCTAGTTCCATATCCACCTCCTCACAGCTGTCTAAAATTTGGGGCCACCTGCCAGAATCCTGACTAACCCTTTACCTTCACATCCTGACCCATTTGTCATTTGATTTTTGTCAGATAGAAGCATAATTGAATAATTACTCCTTCTTGTAGGTGAAATTAACAAAGTGCTGATTGGACAAAGCACCCTCTTACCAGACCATTTATAAATTCATGGCTTTGACATCTGTGTCCTTCTCGATTCACTGCCCAGAATTCATTTGTCACTAGAACAGCTCACATGGTGAACAGATAAAGATGGGAAATCCTTTATCCCTTAGAAATGCCTCAAAAACTTTGGGACCCTAAAGGATAAGACTGAGATGCGTAAAGAAACAATTCCTAGTAAGCACTGGCATCACTGCATATATATTAAAACCAGAGAGTAAAAAGGTTTAGAAGGATAATAAGCCAAAAGTAAACTATTCTTTTCACAATATACATCAACAACATGGAGAAAGATTTTAGTAAACTAATGGTCAATGACAAAATGATTGATATCCATCAAGGGACGTATACTACTAAGTTACTAAATGAGCAAATATCCTGGAGTTGAATAAGCTTAGAAATAAATTTCTAATTTATATAATATGGATATCTACATCCTAGCTTAGCTAGGCTAAAATGTAGCTGCAATATGCATTGAAAAATTATGTACTGAAAAAAGTAGAAAACGGTACTACTGTAGTGTCACTGGACAAAAGAAAAGTAACAAATGTGAAAAACACAGATCTGAAGAGGAGGAAGTAGTGTATTATGGAAATACTAAAGGAAACCTCCAAACACTATGAACCATGGTCAGTGGCTGATTATGCTGAGATAAGCTATGTGAAAATCAAGTCTGAATAGTATGATGCCCAAATTCATTTTGAAACTTTTATAAGGTATAAACCTAACACTAACTTCATTTTACTAGCTATAGCTCATTTTACTATAAATCTACAGTTTACCAGATGTAACTCAGGAGCATTCACCTTTATTGAGCAACTACTTCATTTGAAGCATCTCATTTAGACTTTTGTCTGATTCTTTAAAGCTAGATCATAATCTTCATTTTACAGATAAGAAAAGTAAAGTTCCAAGGGGTAAAGTAATTTGCCCAAATTACTGGTCTTAATCAGCTAACTAGATAACAAGTCATCTGACAAAGGTGGGTCAATTTGTGGTCTAACTGCAAGATCTATATGCTTTCCATTATGCATGACGCTACATTTTATGCTTTTCAAATGGAAGAAAGGGAAAGAGGAACCCTATTTTCCTTAGGTAAATGGATACTAGTTGGAAGAGAAAGAGGAAGGAGAAAGGAGTTG